TTTTGTCCTCCTGTAAAGGGAGAGATTAACGTTACTCCCCAACTGGAAATATTTTGAACAGTCCATCACATCTCTTTTTGATAAATGACAAAATTAACCATTTAGTTATTTATTTTTATATATATATATAAAAAAATAATAAAAAATAAAATAAAATAAATGTCTTGCCTATTGTGCACACTGAAAGCTGAAAACAAATTAAAAGGTTTAATGAACACTGTATATTCTGTTAAAAAAAAAAAGAAAAAAGTACTGTTAGAGCTGCATGTTTGGACTTGTAAAAAGCCCTCAAGGGAAACCAGGTTTAAGTTTGACCTGGGTCATGTCCCAATCCCATTCCCCTTCACTCACCCTAATTTCCAGAAAAGGCAAATAGGCACAAAATGAATGAATGAAAGAATGAATGCATGCATGCATGAATGAATTAATGCATGAATGACAAGAGGAGGAATAGGGTCATTCTATGCCAAAGCCAAATCAATCAAATTTCAGAAACTTCCCAAGCTCAATATTTTTTTTTTCTGAAGAAAGACGCACATATACAGCGATGAAAGCCAAAATTTCAAATGTCATGGATGTATATGCACACATTTTCAAGATGGCAGCATTCTTATGTTAGTTTTACACAAAGAATGGTAAGTCTATTAGTAAAATGTGTTGACTTTTGCAATGTTTGTTACATTATATCCCAATGGTGACAGTTTGAAAATGGGAAAAAGCACTTCTTGTGTTTTTTGCACAAAGTTAGCGCGCCTGTAACTTCTTTTTCTTTTAAAGAAGAATGTCTAAAGAACAAATAATGTTGAAACTAGAAATGCATCTTGTTTTCCCCATCAACACAATTGCATTGTCTTCATGCAATAATGTTGCAAACAATGTACTTTTGCATGACTGTATCTAACAGTGTTACAGATCCTTCTAGATTATAATTCTTCAACTTTTCTTTTGTAATCTTCACTTTTAAAGCTCTATCCATCCATCTTTCCATCCACCCACACCATTCCATCCTTCCTTCCATCCATTAATTTATTCATTCATCCTTTATTTAGATCCCATAGTTTAGGAGCAGCTTCTATAATTTCTTACATACCAGGGTATTGTATCCTGCTTTCACCCAAGTTGTATTTAATAATAACTTAGAGGGTCATTAAACATTTAGCACAGTATCCAAATGGAATGAAGCAGACATCTTAACTCCTGCTCCAAACGCTGCCCTGTCAAGGTCAAAGGAGAGGAAGCGTAAAGTTAGATATAAAGCCCTGGTTGTGTGACCGACCAATCGAATCTTGCACACAATGAGAGTCTCTAAAGAGTCTTTGCTCGTTCCTTTAATCTGAGCACATGCATTTCTTTCTGCACAGTAAGGCTAAAGCAGAACGTTTACCCGGCTATAACCAGAGGGAACACGGCCAATCAACCCAACCCGGGATAGGTGATCCCTCTACTGTAACGTCAGGAACACCCACAACAAATATATTCATTTATTCAATTCAGACATTCATTAACATGCACGCTGAAGCATGCAAACTGATGGAGTTATTTGCTTTTTCATTGCCCGGGATATCCAAACCACAGAAGTGCATAATTATATTTGGAAAATATGATTACAGGCCATACTTGGTAAAATGCCATACTTCTAAACTCACATATATTGTTAAAGGAAAATCTGGAAAGTTTTTCAAAGTTTGGAACCCCTTTATAGAATTTTTAAAGGAAGCTGAACCAAATAGTTTATTTTCGTTGTAACCAGGAATAACAAATTATGTTATTAATGTACCATTGTCTTGACATTTGTATAGTATAGTTGTTGTCGTTGTTGTTTTTATTATTATTTCTTTTTTTTATTATTTAATTTTTATTTTGTATTTTTGTATTTTATTTTTCTTTCTGTGCTTGTTTTAATGTAAATGTTTCTAAAATCAATAAATACAATGTTGAAAAAAAAAAAAAAAATGCCATACTTCTTGTGGTTCTGTTTTTCATTAATATTAACATAGTGAATGCAAACAGAAAACACTGAATTTGAAAACTGAACGTTAGATTTGTTGTACCAACATGACTGCTTCCAGATTTGATTTTCTTTGGACACTATACAATGGTCACATAGTCAGGTCTATGTAAAAGTAATTAGTTTGAGGGTAAAATGTCACTGATTAGGTTTTAACTTTGCTGGATGGCATCACATATAGTCCTGTGCTTTGCTTTACGTCACAACTTTTTGTTTTTACCCACATAAAATCAATATCAATGGCACCAACCAGTTTAAATGCATCAATGATCATGACTGTACATCTAAATGTACATTTTTAGAGACAAAGCATGTGGCACTTGCCCACTCAAAACCACTACACAGTATTATATTATTATCCACTGTGAGAAAAATAGTAAAATGTAATAATTTATAAACAAAATAATAGCACACTGTAACCAACCACACAATTTAAACCTTCACACATGTGGAAAAAAGTGTAATACTTTGTTCAAATCAGCCTTAACTATGAGCAATAGTAACATTGACTAATATAAACACATTACAGATGGTTTGAAGTATTGTATACAGATATATCTGAAACCGTAATACTGTTAGATCAAACATCTGAACATCTAACATTATTTGAGAACCATAAATATGTTTCTGAATTGCTCTTAGGCAAATCTAATAATATAATACAGATGATATATTTGGCTTTCTATAGCAGGTGGAAGAGATCATGTCGCACACATTTTAACAAAATATATGCAGACTTCTAGATATTGATAACTCTACTCAGATACACTTATCGTCTTCTTTCAATGATCAACATCCCTGCAGAAACCACCGAAGATTAATGTTTAAAGTGTACATGATATTTAATGAAAAAACGCTAAAAACCTGATGGCAGGTAATAAGTGTGTGCAATGATAATGAAATAACTGGATGATGTATTGATTCAGAGTGTACGACTAGCTCAAATATTAAGAGTAATATGGTCTCTTTTCCTACATTTACATAATGCAGAGGAAGACCCTAGATATAGGTTCATTATTCACCCACTGTCCAAGAGCAACATAAATGCGGTTGCACCAAATTCAAATGCCACGGTTTTGTGTTCCAACTTATCCAATGTAAACAGCCTGCAACTACAAATAGTATGTGAAACAGTAGGTAGTATACGCAACAATAAACATGACAAATATGAGTTTGGGGCGTAAGACACTATGATACAGAGTGCAATGACCATCAACTTGCAGCCTTGGTTTCCAGTAGGACTGTTACCATCCACTTTCATTATGTAGGGATTTCAAATAAATATTTAATAAACAATAGAAATTAATGAGCCAAACCTAATATTCCTAATACTAGAAATATAACAAAGGTTGATTTGAAGTCAAAAAAATATTTTAAATTAAAAAAAAAGATTTCACAAAAAAACAGCAAATGCCCACCATCTTGATCATTTGATATATATATATATATATATATTAGACCCTACTAAATTAAATACATATATATATAGTTTTATTTTATTATATTATAGGTAGTTAAAAACTGTAAGTTGAAATTACACTGACTGATGGGATACGATAGAAGCATATTTCATCAATTTACAACTTCAGAACTCGTGCTAGGTTTGTCTTGAAAGGTCTATGTTACTGCCTACAATCATCAAAATCAGTATATATGGTGAAGTGAATGGGAATTTCACTTCCAGAACCTGGAAGACTGTACTCTATCCTAGTTCCTCAGTGGCTAAACCAATGGCATTCAGGTTTGAAAACCAATAAATAAGTAGATCTTGCTGCCAGTTCATTTGAAACACTGGAAATGGAAGGCCATGTAATGCACATTGCAATGTAGGATTCGTTTTTGTTTTTGTTTTGTATTGTTTTGTTTTTTGCCAAATGCAGCAGGTGTTCCAAGCTGAAAACTTGCTTAAAACTAGAATACTTTGTGCCATGTACTTAGTGGACAAGTAGTAGTATGTTATGATATTATGGTATTCCAAACAGCCTACATGTGCTATAGTGCTAAAAGATACTCATTGCATCTGAGTGGGTGTTTTCTACCCAACAACAACATGGAAAAAAGAAACCATATTGAGACATGTAGCAAAACAGCCAAATGTTTCACGAAAAAGTTGAAAAAATACACACATACTGTACACACAAAATGACTATGCTTCATCTATCCTCTTCATCCTCTTCTCTCAAATGCAGTGACACAGCATTTCACTTTTCATCTATCACTCTTGAGGGATTAATCTGTATCAATGAACAAGAGAAAACTGGACTCGGTCATCTCTGCTTCGCTAAAGACTGACAGCAAACCAATGGCCAGAGACGTGGCTGAAGAGTATAGTGCAGAAACCCTAAATAACTCATTCACAGCTCAGTTTATGAGTAAATGACTCACAAGAGTGAAGGTTTCAGGGCATAACTGAGGAATTCAAAGGTACATATTTTAGTTTTTGTAGCAGGGGTGATTCACTAACCCTATTGTGCATTTTTATTTTTTACATATAGGCAGGTTTCTTACCTAAAAAGCTGCTGCAATACCAAACCTGTATGCTGGTGAATTGAAAATCACTCTTTCACTTAAATTGAAATGTTCAGCTGTGCAAATTTTGCTCATGCAAACTTAGGGTGGCCCAACATGTGAACACCAAAACAATTAACTTGAATGTAAATTCAAAAGAACCCTTTACACAATCGCTATAATTTAAGAAGAAAAAAGAAGAAACTCATTCTTCACCACAAAAGTTTTGGTGGAACTTCTATATTAGAACACTGTCAGCATCATAAATGAGCAATGAAGCAGTAAGTGGTTTGGATCACATGGGAATTTTCCAGAAAGTTCTTAATGGATCTCATCTACTCCTTCCTTAGCTTTTTAAATACTAACCCGCTTCACTACAGTCCAAACAAACGCTCGACAGTTGCGAAATAGTCACTCTGTGCGTATAGAAGATCAATCTGTCGCATGTTCAAAACAATTGCAGGTCAAAATGGAATGAACTTACCCAAGAGTTGTCATGGTGACTATGGTGTACCAGAAGGATGCTGGGATGCTGGTGAAGTTGGTTCCCTTGGTGCCTTTCTCGGCGTAGAACATGACGGTGGCAAATATGATGATGGCCATGGTGAGGGAAAACAGGAGGAAGCCCAACTCAGAAGCGCAGCTCTTCAGAGTATACCCGAGGATCCGCAGGCCCTGAGAGTGACGCGAGAACTTGAAGATCCGGAAGACGCGGAACACCCTCAATGTGACGAACGCGCCACTCACATCCTCGTTCTCAGGCATGACCAGGCCGATGTAGTAGGGCATGATGGCGACGACGTCGATCACGCTCATGACCGAGCGCATGAACTTGCAGCGACTGGGCGCGGCGAAAAGCCTCATGAGGTACTCGAACGTGAAGATGAGCACGCAGGCCGTGTCCATGCAGAAAAACGCCAGCGTGTACTTCTCGCCACAAGGCAAGTCTTTCTTGCTGCCTTTGAGGGGTCGGCAGGGGACAGTTTCCACCACGTTCGCGATGACCGAGACGGCGATGAAGAAACCTGTGACGTAGTAGAAAACGAGCGCCATGGTGCTTGTGTGGGGGTTCTCGAAGGCGCGCCACAAGCGCTCCCGCGATGTGCTCTCCGGCGGCAGTGGGGTGTCCGTCGCCATCTCGGCCTCCGTGTCCTCGGCCAGGCGTTCCTGGTTCTCCTTCTTGCGATCCCTGTACTCTTCCATGCAGCAGTCTCCGATAATGTCCGGCACGATGCCGTAAAATGCCAGCTCCTCGTCGAAGGCCTGAATGCACTCCTGCCGGGGGTAGTGAAGCTTACCCGTACGGTAGAAGTTCAAAATGTGGCGAAACATCTCCGGGTCCCTGTCGAAGAAATACTCCTGAGTGTCCTCGTTGTAGAAAAACTCCTTTTCCGAGCTGCCCAGCAGAGTGTCGGGATAGCGATCCAGCGTGTTTTTCCATGTCTGGAAACGGAGCCCGCTCACGTTTACGAAGAGGATCTCGTCGTTGCGGCTCTTTTTGTCCACGGGCGGTTTGGGCATATTTTTCTTGGCTAGAGGAAGCCAGCCGACAGCCGCCGCCCTGGCAAACGGAAGCCATGTTGCCACTCCGGCAGCCATCTTTGATTTGGCGGCTAAACGTTGTTACTGAAACAAATACGCCAAAGAGGAGAACGCCGGTCAGCCCTGAGAAGATTTTCTGAACCTTTCTGGACCAGAACAAGTCTTTCCAAACTAATCATCCGAGCCGAGGATCTCAGACTAGTTAGTTATACGTCTCTCGGTTAGTCTGTACATCTATTAGACTAGGAAGGAATCCTCTGAGAATGTTTTCATTATCAGCTACAAAAATGTGGGGCTGTCAAAGTGTCAAAGCCATTTGAATCTCAGGATCTCCATTTGTCAAAAACGATCCTGAAATGACCCATTCAAATTCATCATTCACAACTTGCAGATTGTGGCTGTTCAAAGAATCAGTTCAGCCGTCTAAAGGGTTAACCCTCTTGGCCATATCTTGCAGGGTCTGCCGGAGAATACTGATTTGTTGCTGCGCTTTGCCGTTTCAAATTTTTATTAGTCTGTGATGAGGCTTTCTGAAGTTAGCAAGAGACTATTTCTGCTCTGCTACGTCCTCTTTTTTCTGGTTGCAGGAGTTCTACCTCCTTTTTATGCAGTTTCAATACTCTTTTCTTTCCTTTCTTCAATCTTCGAGTCGGCTACTCAATCTTGCAAGGGGCTGGGAAGGTTTTCAGCGGGAGATCTCAGAACTAGACACCTGGACTCCACGTATGGCCTTTCCTTCACGCACCTGTCATGAAACAACATAATAACACATTAGGTAACGTCTGAAACACAGTAGCTACTTTCATCAGCTAGTTTTACGTCAGAGAGCGTTTAAATAAACAAGCTTCACAGTCTGTTTATGAGATCTCTCTCACGCTACATTCATTGATGCTTTAAACGGAAAAAGGTGTGGCATTACAGCTACATATATGTGTGTGTAATTATAAATACATACATGCATTTCTTTACATACATATGATGTTTATATGCAGTAGACACACACATAAATGGTACATAAAAACTATTTATACTACCCTACTTTTTTTTATAAATGCTTTGTTTGCACAGAGAACTGTCATTTACGAATGCAATACAAGTCAATGGCATTCAGATTCACGACAATCAATAATGTGTTTCCCCACTTCTAAGCTAATGCAACTTCCTGTTGCATCTAAATGTCTCTGTATGAATGAATAATCTCCCTAATGCAGAATCACAAACTTTTTAGGGTAGCATCACGCCAGCACACGCCTGCCCTTATGGGTCCAGGCGGAGGACAGGTGACCCAGCCCTGTCCCAACATAATGCATACAACATGCTCCCACAATCAAAAATCAATAACACATTACTCTACACCTCCTGCACCTTAGACAAGAACATGCACGTACTATAGGAGATGAACAGTAAATTCAGGGTTTACTTTAGCACTAAAGCAAAACGCATTATTCAACTTATTCTATTTTTTTTTTTTTACGTGAATGAAGGTGCTCCTAAATTTCCTACAATCCAAATGCTAAAGTGACTCCAAAAATCAATGAGTGCTGTAAATAACATGATACGAAAAAGTCGAGCAAGTTGCCAGCAGTAGCGATAAGTAATGATCTATCTTCATAGACTTTTTACCTCTGGGATAGACGAGAAGATGAAGCGTTCAATGTGACAGAAAGCTGATGAAAGAAAGAAAAAAAGGAAAGAAACGGCAATCTCTCTGCAGCAGTCCTAGCATCTCGCATGCGGCTTGTGAAGGGGCGACCGTAACGCCTAGTCCTCCTTGCCTCTCTCTCCTCTCCTCCGCTGCTCTGTTGCATTCGTGCGCTGCCTCTCTCTCTCTCTCTCTCATTTGCTTGCTCAACCTCCCCACCCTCTTTCTCCCTCCCTCCCTCTCTTTTTCTCTACACTTATACACATCCATTTAAAGCTTAATATCTCTTGCAAATGCATCCTGGCCTACAATGGGTCATAGAGAACGAGGCAAAAGCTCGGGTTTCACACAACCTGACAATACTAGATCAGACAGTCTACTTGTGCCTTTTGTTGCAGCTTACTGCATTCAGACACATTGCATCCTCTCCTCTTTCAACAGATAGTTTCATGTTGCTCCACCTCTCTCGGCAGTGGGAGTAGCTGGAGAATTTCAGTTTCCTCGAATGTGTCCGGGCACAATGGGGTGCCATCACACTTCTGAAAGGACTCAGAAAAAGAAAAAAGATGATAAAGCTCTGGGAGATGCTATGTGAGGTTTACATTACTGATATATAACTGTACCACGATATTGTCCAATTTAATTTCAGCAATCTTGTGAAGGTCTCATTTGCCATTATAAAATTGCATATACATTGTCAGTTAAACGTTTGGACACACTTGACTGAAACAGGGCTTTTTAAAACGGGTTTTCAAAGGGAGGATTTAAATACCTGTTAGTGAGGGAAAAAAATAACTTGGATATCAATTTGCATATGCGATGGAATGGACATCGTTTTGGTCATCTTTGCAGGTAAAACGGCTCTATATTTAATGAAGCACATACAAAAGAACTGAACTGGAGGCGACTTGTTTTACAGAATACAGATGTTTGTTGTGCATAACCCCGTTGTTAAGGATAACACAGGAAAAGCAGTCAACAAGTATGCAGCATACATACCATTTAAAAAGTATCCCAGCATACACTACATGAAGCTGGTTGATGACTGTGTAGAGCTGGGATCTAGGCAAAAAGAGCGAATTTTCATTGGTTTGGTCAATTCTCGTACAAATTTCATAGTTGTAATGACTCATTATTATTATAAGCCATCTTGATCTCTAGATATCAGTAATGGCATAATCCAATATCAGTCAACCACTAATTTACATTCGCAAACTGTTCTTTAGTCAACATACTGTATTATTCATGAGGAAAAAGGTTGAATTCAGCAGACTGACACTCATCCATTTAGCATTTCTAACGACTGCGCTTTCCACTGCTGTCTTGAGGATGCAACACACATGCATGTGACTGGGGTCCTGAATGGGCTGTTGTGCTCCACCTAAAATAGAGGGATTTGATTGCATTGGTATTTCTGTCTTGTTTACCCTGAGGAATTAACCATTTAATGTAATGGCATACTGTACACAGCACACACATGCATGTAAACATTGTCTGGTTTCAATTATAGAGCAGGTGTTAAATTCCTCACTGAAGTGTCACGGCAGGGACAGATTGAAGGGATGTGCAATTCCATTTGGAGCCACTAGTGGCACAAACATTACACACTTCACAACTCCATAGCAAATTTATAGTCTATTTTGGTACGTCAATCCTTTTGATCAAGTCTTACTTTAAAATGAAACACTCACTCTCCAAAGACTAGAAAAGGTCTAGTCTCCAAAGAAGAAATAGTTATTGATAGCTAGTGTAATTCCCAGTGATAGCATCTGTTATGAGGATTGAACTAAAGGGGTTTTCGGGGGATAACGATTGATTCTGTGGAAGTATTACAGTTTCAATATAGCGAATAGAAAAAACAGGTTCTTTCATACAAGAGGAACTCACTGGGATTGAGTGAAATAAGGCAAAATGATGGCAGAATTGATTCCTGGATCCTCAAATCAATAGCTGGAGTCTTCAAAGGTGTTCTGTGAACAAATTTCCATTTCCTGTGACTCATGGAAATGGTCAAAGGCTCTTTGACAAAAGAAAATGAATTGTTACTACTCTGTATTTCTGCATTCAACAGACTGTCATATTAATACATGGCATTATTTTATTAATTGGACATGTTTTTTTTCTAACTCTAATTAACCAAAGTTTCTGCTTCTACAGTGACAGCATGAAAAGTTTGTTAGCGAAATGATCTGTCACACACACACTCACCATCATGCCGTCCCAAACATGTGTGTCTTACATGAAACACAGGTAAAAGGATACAATAAACTAACCAAAAACTGGTCCAAATGACTTGCGCTAAGTCTTCAAAACTTATTTGATTGCTTTGTGGAAAGTAAAGAACAAAATTTAGGTCTTTATTGGCTGAAAATATATTTTAAATCTATTTCACACTTCTGTATATTCAAATTATATGCATGGATACAAATTTTAGTCCAATTTGGAGACTGACAGCCATTGCAACATTATTTAAAATGTCTTTTTATATGTTCCACAGAAGACAGAAAGTCATAAAAATATCAATATCAGTTCAATCCACAACCAGACCTTTATGCAATGAGGGCATTTTCTTCGTAACAAAAAAACAGCAAGACTGAGGTTAGTAACTTCACATATGGAGAAATGAATTATTGTTGGAGAGGCTGGAATTACAGTGAGAGCTGTTGCGTCATACTTCTGGAGTCTTTCAATGAATGATTGAAGAAGATGGGGAAAAAGCTTTCCTGCAGGTCTCTGTTTTGGAGTGAAGTATATTGCAGTAAAGCACAAAGGCCAAAATACTGTAACATGCTAAAAATGTCCACTAAATGTACCTAAATGCAACTGAAATCAAACCTATCAATATACACTTCTGATACCCATTAGAAAAACATTTGTTTAAAGTATATAAATACTAGTGCTATTTTTCAGTAAATATGGCTTAACACTACTTAACAATATGGCTTAGCAGCTCACACTCTGAAATGTATCATTGCGACGCGATAAGAGCACCTAAGGGCTGCGCAGTGATGAACAAACTGGGAAAGCTTTTACTGTGAAAGCTACGGCGTTGTAAATATCCATTTACATACCTTACAGGAGGTCAGTGAGGTGTGGGAATAGTCAAGGACCATCAAAATTTGGAGAGAAGTTGAACACACTGAATATATCCATGTCAGCCTCATACTGCAGAATACTGGGAAGGATCCTCAGGAAAGTCAAAAACCTAGAAAGTCAAAGCATATGTAATTTTATATCTAATTATAACAGTGATGACATTTTGCAACCTTTTACAACCGAAACATGCATAAACATGACTTTTATAAGCAGGGACGTTGTTTCAGTGCATTATCACGGTAAGAAATTGTTTCAAAATGATAAATAATAAATATTATATATATATATATATATATATATATAAATGAACTAAATTAAGAACTTTTTTACAACAAAAATTAAACATCACTAAACTTACTTAAGCTGGACTGTGACGGTATTTTCTTCTGGAAACAAACTTTTTTGCATTATTTTCCTGTTATCTCTGTAAAGCTGCTTTGAAACAGTCTGTATTTTAAAAAGCCTATACAAATAAATGTGACTTGACATGACTATGAGCAAAGGGGAATGCACACACACACAGAAATATATTTAATGTCTCTCATTCACCCATTGAAGTTTACCAAACTACTAAGACTTGCGGTTTGAGAAACCCTGAGATATGAAAAGGTTCAAATAGTGAGAAAGTATCTACAGTACACCATCATCCATATCTCTAATGGACGTCCACCATTAGACAGGTAAGGTTATAAGGTTGAGCAAAATTGCTCTTTAGGAAGCAAGTACTCATTCTCAAATCCAGTTTACTATCCATAATATATATGTGTGGCAGTCTGTGCAGACACTATTGAGAAATTAAATGTGAAAGCTCACAACTCAGAAAGGGATAAAAAATCTGCCAAACTTCCCAGTTAAAAGCCTCGAATATGAGATTGGGAATGTAGTCGAGATAGCATTTGACAGCGTGCTTAAAATTCAGAGCACAGCCTTCTAAAACTACTAGTCCTCTGGGAAGACAACCAGCACAACACACTGGATCCATTTATGCGACAACTGCAGAAATCTACCACTAAAACACATTCAACCCTCACCCTATAAAAGTCAGGCAGTCTTCGACGTCGCCAAGATAAACAGATGAGAAGAGGCAGCAGTACAAAACACAGCTTAAATAAAATAATTGCCAGTGAAGCGTGTTGGTCTAGAGAAGCATCTTTAAAGGTACAGATGTATTTGACTATATGGAGTTTGGGTACTTGCCACTGTCGCCTTCTCTTACCCTACTCAAGCTCTCACGTCTACTGTCGATAACCGCTGAGTCTCTTACCCTACTCTACTCAAGCTCTCACGTCTATCGTCGACAACCGCTGAATCTCTTACCCTACTCTACTCAAGCTCTCACGTCTATCGTCGACAACCGCTGAATCTCTTACCCTACTCTACTCAAGCTCTCACGTCTCCTGTCAACAACCGCTGAGTCTCTTACCCTACTCTACTCAAGCTCTCACGTCTATCGTCGACAACCGCTGAATCTCTTACCCTACTCTACTCAAGCTCTCACGTCTATCGTCGACAACTGCTGAATCTCTTACCCTACTCTACTCAAGCTTTCACGTCTATCGTCGATAACCGCTGAGTCTCTTACCCTACTCTACTCAAGCTCTCACGTCTATCGTCGACAACTGCTGAATCTCTTACCCTACTCTACTCAAGCTCTCACGTCTATCGTCGACAACCGCTGAATCTCTTACCCTACTCTACTCAAGCTTTCACGTCTATCGTCGATAACCGCTGAGTCTCTTACCCTACTCTACTCAAGCTCTCACGTCTATCGTCGACAACCGCTGAGTCTCTTACCCTACTCTACTCAAGCTTTTACGTCTATCGTCGACAACTGCTGAATCTCTTACCCTACTCTACTCAAGCTTTCACGTCTATCGTCGACAACTGCTGAATCTCTTACCCTACTCTACTCAAGCTCTCACGTCTATCGTCGACAACCGCTGAATCTCTAACCCTACTCTACTCAAGCTCTCACGTCTATCGTCGACAACCGCTGAATCTCTAACCCTACTCTACTCAAGCTTTTACGTCTATCGTCGACAACTGCTGAATCTCTTACCCTACTCTACTC